AAAAAAAAAAAAAAAAAAAAAAAAAAAAAAAAAAAAAAAACAGAATTTGTTGAGAACAGGAGCCAATTTATTTTAACACTGTAAAGCTGACAGCGAACGCAAACAAAATTCAGTTGAAGTGCAGTAAACGATTTACTAATGTGAAAGATTGATGTGAAATGTAAAGTGCGCGAATAAAATTTATTGTTTGGCTGTGTCAAGAATGTCTGAAGTGTGTCACAGATTTGGGGGAAAATGATGGTAATTAACGGCGCAAAAATTAATGCACAACTTAATTAACTGCGTGGGAATTAACATTAACATAAATTAACGCGAATTTCAAAAATTTGCGTTAATTTCATGAAGCGTTAATTTCCTATAATGAGGTAATGTCTAAGAACAGCAGAGAAAGTGATATCAAATCATCTCACCATCAGGGAGTTTCGCCTTCAAGAAACCAACTCGCCATCAACAAACTTGCCACCAAGTGAAGTCACCCTGCCACCAAGCACCAACAGAGAGATAAACTAGAGTAAAGTAGTTGAGGTGAATTAGCTGTTCGAGCGACTGCTGTTTCTTCCAAATCAGTGGAGCTCTGTTTCTTGATCATAGCCAAATATGCCTGAGTTAAAGCACAGGTCTCTTGTATAAAAGACCTTTCCTCTCTGTAAATAAGCATACACTGAAGTTTATAACACATGTATTTTAAGCAAGTGACGGTACACTGTAAATGCACGCATGTTTTTTTTTTTCTTCTTAAAGAAGGGCTTTGGCATTCCATGTCTTTTCTCTGGTAAATTTGCTTTGGTGTTAATTCTTTTCTTTTATACAAATGTATAATAAAACAGTTTTCCAGTTGTATATAACTCCACTCTATGCCATTCTTGCTAAAAGTTTTGTACTGCATAGTTGTATTCTTAGCTGACTCTATAGTCATACCATAGTATGTACGACAACGGTCACTACCCGGTAATTCAGATATCATTTTTATGGGTGATGCCCAATACTACTTAAGTGAATCGGGTGGAACAGTGTGAGTTTTACAACTGAACAATGTAGAATGAATTTCAGTTGCTTTGGGTTGTGGCGTAATGTTATTAGATTATTGATGGCTAGGAGACTTTGCTTGGTGGTGAGGTGACTTGGCTTGGTGGCAAGTTCATTGGTGGTGAGGTGGTTTCTTGGTGG